GTCATGGCCATTCATCAAATCTAGAAGTTAGAGATAGAACATCCTATATTAGAGCCAGGGATATGGGAGAAGAAGGCAGTAAAGAAGAAAATGGCAGCTCTGGGATGGAATGGAAAGCAAATGGCAGCTCTGGAATGGAATGGAAAGCAGGAGTTAAGTGGCAAAAGGAATATGTGCATGGCAAGAGATGGTTATGGTGCAAGAAACAAGATATGGATATGGAGAAACTGTAAATAGTAATTAACAGCAATATCACTATGATAATAGCTGAGTCCAATCAGTTATAAAGTGTGAGGATGAAATAATTTAATGAAGGTTATATTGACCATTCCAGCTATCTGACTGATAGTGTTATAGCCCAATGAGGTGGGGATCTTCACTGTGCTTCATGACGTAAAGAGAAAATAACAGTTTGACTAAAACCAGCCAGATACAGAAACAAAAACAAAAACATCAAAAACAAAATTTTATTTCATAAAGTTTTTGAAAGATCATACAATGATGCAGCACAGGAGGTCAATCATACCGCTGTGCTAGCGCTAGCTTGTCTAAATAGTCGCACTCCCTGCCTCTTTTTCCACAGTCTTGCAATTTTATCTTTACAGGTATTTTATCCAATTCACTCACCACATTATTTTAATCAGTATTTTAATCAGGCAAGAGTTATAGCTGGGGGAAAGGCAATTATGAGGCGATTAGGCAAGATTTAGGATGCATAGGATGGAGAAGGAAACTGCAGGGGCTGGGCACAATTGAAATGTGGAGCTTGTTCAAGGAACAGCTACTGCGTGTCCTTGAGAAGTATGTACCTGTCAGGCAGGGAGGAAGTGGTCAAGCGAGGGAACCGTGGTTTACTAAAGAAGTTGAATCTCTTGTCAAGAGGAAGAAGGAGGCTTATGTAGAGATGAGGCTTGAAGGCTCAGTTAGGGCGCTTGAGAGTTACAAGTTAGCCAGGAAGGTCCGAAAGAGAGAGCTAAGAAGAGCCAGGAGGGGACATGAGAAGTCTTTAGCAGGTAGAATCAAGGAAAGCCCTAAAGCTTTCTACAGGTATGTCAGGAATAAAAGAATGACTAGAGTAAGATTAGGGCCAGTCGAGGACAGTTGTGGGAAGTTGTGCGTGGAGTCCGAAGAGATAGGAAAGGTGCGAAATGAATATTTTTCGTCAGTATTCACACAGGAAAAAGACAATGTTGTCGAGGAGAATACTGAGATACAGGCTATTACACGAGACGGGATTGAGGATCAGAAGGAGGAGGTGTTAGCAATTCTGGAAGGTGTGAAAATAGATAAGTCCCCTGGGCCGGATGGGATTTATCCTAGGATTCTCTGGGACGCTAGGGAGGAGATTGCAGAGCCTTTGGCTTTGATCTTTATGTTGTCATTGTCTACAGGAATAGTGCCAGAAGACTGGAGGATAGCAAATGTTGTCCCCTTGTTCAAGAAGGGGAGTAGAGACAACCCTGGTAATTATAGACCAGTGAGCCTTACTTCGGTTGTGGGTAAAGTGTTGGAAAGGATTATGAGAGATAGGATTTATAATCATCTAGAAAGGAATAATTTGATTAGGGATAGTCAACACGGTTTTGTGAAGGGTAGGTCGTGCCACACAAACCTTATTGAGTTCTTTGAGAAGGTGACCAAACAGGTGGATGAGGGTAAAGCGGTTGATGTGGTGTATATGGATTTCAGTAAAGCGTTTGTTAAGGTTCCCCACTGTAGGCTATTGCAGAAAATACGGAGGCATGGGATTGAGGGTGATTTAGCGGTTTGGATCAGAAATTGGCTAACTGTAAGACGACAGAGTGGTGGTTGATGGGAAATGTTCATCCTGGAGTTCAGTTACTAGTTGTGTACCGCAAGGATCTGTTTTGGGGCCACTGCTGTTTATCATTTTTATAAATGACCTGGATGAGGGCGTAGAAGGATGGGTTAGTAAATTTGCGGATGACACGAAAGTCGGTGGAGTTGTGGATGATGTTGCAGGTTACAGAGGGACATAGATAAGCCGCAGAGCTGGGCTGAGAGGTGGCAAATGAAGTTTAATGCAGAAAAGTGTGAGGTGAATCACTTTGGAAGGAATAACAGGAATACAGAGTACGAGGTTAATGGTAAGATTCTTGGTAGTGTGGATGAGCAGAGAGATCTCGGTGTCCATGTGCATAGATCACTGAAAGTTGCCACCCAAGTTGATAGGGTTGTTAAGAAGGCGTACGGTGTGTTAGGTTTTATTGGTAGAGGGATTGAGTTTGGAGCCATGAGGTCATGTTGCAACTGTACAAAACTCTGGTGCGGCCGCAGTTGGAGTATTGCGTGCAGTTGTGGTCACCGCATTATAGGAAGGATGTGGAAGCATTGGAAAGAATGCAGAGGAGATTTACCAGGATGTTGCCTGGTATGGAGGGAAGGTCTTATGAGGAAAGGCTGAGGCACTTGAGGCTGTTTTCATTAGACAGAAGAAGGTTAAGAGGTGACTTAATAGAGACATACAAGATGATCAGAGGATTAGATAGGGTGGACAGTGAGAGCCTTTTTCCTCGGATGGTGATGGCGAGCATGAGGGGACATAGCTTTAAATTGAGGGGTGATAGATATAGGACAGATGTCAGAGGTAGGTTCTTTACTCAGAGAGTAGTAAGGGCGTGGAATGCCCTGCCTGCAACAGTAGTAGACTCGCCAACTTTAAGGGCATTTAAATGGTCATTGGATAAACATATGGATGATAATGGAATAGTGTAGGTTAGATGGGCTTCAGACTGGTTTCACAGGTCGGCACAACATTGAGGGCCGAAGGACCTGTACTGCACCTGTAATGTACTATGTGTTTGCTGATTACTGACCCTCTGGTCAATGGGAACAATTTCTCTTTATTCATCCATGAAAACACACCAAATCCTCAGAAAGTTCAATCAATCATAGGATAACTAAATAGAGGTCACCCTTCCCTCCAACCTTACATGACAGGCAGAACCTAGGAGGAGCTGCTCCTCCTGTAACAAATTTGAATGGAAGGGTTTTGGGGTGTGCAACTGAGGTCACAATCAGATCAGCCATCAACAGCAAGCTTGAGGGGCCGAAGGGCCAAATCGTACTCCTAATTCATTCATACGTGGATTCTGTTTCTCTTAGATTGACTACTCCATCTCCTCTAATTACATATCCCCCTTCTGCTTCTCCAAAGACAGAATCTATGATTGGAGGAGCAGCAGTAAGGAGAGGAGGGAGGGAACTGTGATTGGACAAGGTGGATCAATTATTCTGGCTGATTCCTCAGCTGGTATCACTACTCACTTCCACAGAAGGGTGTTCTAAATCAGGCACATCATCCTTGGGTTTTTGGGTTGAACCAAGTATGTTGTACCCAGCTTTAGAAAATGGTGTGTACCGATAATGGAACCAGGAAGCTTCTATGCGCTGGGTTCCAATTTTAACCTTATTCAAGCTCAAATGGCAACAGATGTCACTGTATGCACATAGAATCTCTAGTGTGAAAGAAGGCCGTTCAGCCCATCAAGTTTCACCAACCCTCCAAAGAGCATCCCAACCAGACCTATCCCACTACCCTACCTGTGGGTAGGGTAGGGTAGGGTCTACCTGTGACCCTGCATTTCCCATGACTACTTCACCTAGCCTGCACATCCTATGGGCAATTTAGCATGGCCAATTCACCCATCCTGCACAGCTTTGGACTGTGGGAAGAAACCCACATTGACAAGGGGAGACTATGCAAATACCATACAGACAGTTGCCCAAGGTGGAATCAAAGCCAGGTCCTTGGCGCTGTGAGGCTGCAGAGCTAACTACGGAACCATTGTGCCACCCTGGACTGCAGCAGTTCAAGAAGGCAGCTCATCACCACCTTCTCAAGGGCAACTAGGGATGGGCAATAAATGCTGGCCAGCCAGTGACACACCTATCCTATGAAAGAATTTAAGAAAAAATAGCATGCTAATTGGTACATTAGCTTGGAAAATAAATTACCTCAATGTGAAGTATATGTGCATTAAAGTATTCATTATCTGATGGTTACCTTGATGCTGCAAATTAATTTGCTTTTTACACAGTTGGACTTTTGGAAACCAATTTTGACATGCTTTTCACCACTTGCTACAAACAAACCTGCTGAAGGGGCAACTTCAAATTGGCAAATCAAAACCAAAAAATGCTGGGGAATGTTAATTGGTTGAAATTAATTTTTAAAAGGGGCTGCAAATGTGAAAATCAACTTCTCAATAACTGAAGCCCTTCATTCCTGCTCCCATTTTGGTAAATTCACTCTGCCCCCTTTCCAAAGAACTTGAGATCCTTCTCAAAGTGCAGCCCAGAAGTACACAAAGTCCTGCTGATGAGGCTCTCGCAGTGATTTGCATAACTTCTACAATTCTGTACTCTATCCTTCTAATAATAAACAAAAAAGATTCCATATACTTTTCAAAGAATATATCCCATCACCGTCAAAGATTTTTTGTAGATATAGCCCAAGTTTTCTCTGTTCCTGCTACTTCTTGTTACAGTTGTATAGGACCCTGGTTCGACCACATTTGGAATACTGAGTACAGTTCTGGTCGCCACATTACCAAAAGGATATGGATGCTTTGGAGAGGGTGCAGAGGAGGTTCACCAGGATGTTGCCTGGTATGGAGGGCGCTAGCTATGAAGAGAGGTTGAGTAGATTAGGATTATTTACATTAGAAAGACGGAGGTTGAGGGGGGACCTGATTGAGGTCTACAAAATCATGAGAGGTATAGACAGGGTGGATAGCAAGAAGCTTTTGCCCAGAGTGGGGGACTCAATTACTAGGGGTCACGATTTCAAGGTAAGAGGGGAAAAGTTTAAGGGAGATATGCGTGGCAAGTTCTTTACACAGAGGGTGGTGGTGGCTGGAACGTATTGCCAGCGGAAGTGGTAGAGGTGGGCATGATAGCGTCACTTAAGATGTATCTAGACAGATACATGAATGGGCAGGGAACAGAGGGATACAGATCCTTAGAAAATAGGCGAAAGGTTTAGATAGAGGATCTGAATCAGCGCAGGCTTGGAGGGCCGAAGGGCCTGTTCCTGTGCTGTAATTTTCTTTGTTCTTTGTTCTTTAAAACTGTATAATTCACTTTTTTGCCAGCTGAAAACTCTGAAATCACGCCCGGTGTATCCAAGTTCATGTTCAGTGGTAAAGATAATGAAATACAATGATTTTTGAGAAAGGTCACTTGGACCAGCAATCTGAGCTGTTCATTAACCTCTACCTGACACTTCTTTGTCTCACCCGATCAGCACTGCTCCCTCTAATCTGTGCACAGACACAGTTGCTCCAAGAGTCTGCACATGGTGAATGGCCGGCCAATGTCATTCACAGCACCGACTTCCTCTTCCACAAGTTGATGTCTATTTTGTGATAAAATAAAACAAGAACATGAATTATAAAGCCTGATTTGAGTTTTCACCAGCATTTCTCCTCTGACTAATTTCTTCAGTAAGCTGCTTTCTGAAACTCAGCATGCTCATCACATCCTTGCGTTGGAGTATTTCTTCAACGGAGAGCAACTGGACATCATCTGCCAACTGAGGGACTGATTCACCCCGCAAGGCTTCAAACATCTCCAGCACCGCGGTCACTGAGTCTTCTGCTGTCGCACATGGGGCAGGGAAGATCCTGGCGTTCCACAGGCTAGGGCGGATTTTCCCACTGCCAGAGAATAGATCCTGGGAGATCTTCAGGCCTAGGCTCACAGTAGCCTCTTCGAAATTGATACCCAGCAGCTCAAGTTGGTGGATCTCCAACAGAGATGGGACCGTATGCTTAAGGTTGTCACCAGTTCCAAAGACCACGGTGGCAAAGCCCTCTGGGACGCAGAGTGTATGCAGGAAGGTGTCAGGGGGGATCGTGGTATTCGCTCTGATGCAGCACCCACTGATGATGCTGTTGGAGCCCACGCGGGTGCCCTGCCCCAGCCGGGAATACTCAATTATACTACCAGGAGATACGTCACAATCCAATCCTACCAGGCTCTCGATAATGCAAGGAACTTGTCCGTAATCCTCGGGGCAGAACTGACCAATTCCAGTGGACTCAGACAGCAGCCCCAATTGCATTCTCAGGGTGCTATCTGCCGTCAGGTGATATAGATATTCCTGGGTGGTGCCTAGGTGATAGAATTTCGAATTGTTCAACATGGCCAGATTAAGTGATGTCCCTTGGAGATGAGAGAAGATTTTCTGCCGAACTGCCACCAGCTGCTGCTCCTCCTGGTTGACATTAGCTGTATTTTTGGTATATTCTGGTGTTGCCCTCGGCCCCAAAGCCTGCAGGAAGTCACCATATGCATCAATCTCGCACCTGAGGGTGCCAATTTCTCCAAGGATCACCAGCAACTGCTTAGCTGTTTGACGGTCGAAGTAATAGATGCTGTCTGTGTAGACAAAGCCCACATCCTCAGTGTCTCCGCCACTCCTGACACAATGGCTAGCTTCGCAGATAGCTCCTGCCTTCTGCATCGTTTCCACACTGGGCTTGTGAAGGAAGCGACAGCATGTTTTATACTCCAGCTCTTTCTGTACGGCCTCCATCTGATCAAGCTCAAGCACAAAGACACCGTGTGTGGTGCCAATGGACAAGGAGGAAGGATGAGCGAGGGCAGTGAAACCAGGTCTGTCAAAGCATACAGCTTCAGTCTCACCCAGACTATAAAGCTCAATGTCATCGGCACAGCTCACCAGAACCCCAGGCTTCATGTGAGTGGGGAAGTCGATATACATTGCAAGCTTGAGCTCCAACATTTGATAAACAGGGCTGCCCAGAGGAAGAGTGGTAAAAATCTTTCCCAGTGCACTGGCACTCAACAAACGTTGGCTATAACCTCCTACAACAAAAAAAGGAATCAAATCACAGCAGATAAACATGTCTTAAAAATGGATTTAAGTACCCAAGTTCACTCTTTTTTCAAATCCCATAGCCAGACTCTTCCTCATCTCTGTCACCTCCTCCAGCCCCTACACCCCTCCCCATCTCAGTCACTTGCTCCAGGCCCTAATCCCATGAATGGTCTCTAAACATCTATTGTGCATTCTGAATATTTATCACCACATCATTGGCAGCCTTGCCTTCATGGGCAGTCCTCACTAAACCTTTCACTTCTCTCTTCAGTTTAAAGCACTCTTTATCTCAATAGGCAAGTTTTCAGTCACCAGACTCAATGCTAAATTTTGACTGGATTGCACAGGGGACGCAATGGCCTAATGGTAGTATCACTGGACTGCTAATCCAGAGACCCAGAAAACATTCTAGGGACCTGGGGTCAAATCCCACCACGGCAGACGGTGAAATTTGGATTCAATAAATATCTGGAATTAAAAGTCTACGATTAAACGATGACTGTGAATCCATTGTTGATTGTTGGAAAAACCATGTGGTTCACTAATGCCCTTTAGGGAAAGAAACGATGCAGTTTCTTTCCCTAAAGGGCATTAGCGAACTTACCCTGTCTGGTTTACATGTGACTCCAGACCCCAGCGCAATGTGGTTGACACTTAACTGCCCTCTGGCCCTCAACTGCAATTAGGGATGGGCAATAAATGCTGCCTGGTCAGCAACACCCTCGTCCCGTGAATGAATAAAGGAAAAACATTTATGGGCCTTGGGACATTTTTAATGCCTTTAAAGCAGTATATAAATGCAGGTTAACAAGGTGT